TAATTCCTACAAACGAATATTTGAAGATGCTCTTAAAAAAAGTGGTTTTGAAAATTTTGAATTAAAATTTGACCCTGATAAAAAGAATACAAAAAAACGGAACAGAACTAGAAATGTAATTTGGTTCAACCCCCCATATAGAAAAAATGTTCCCACTAACATAGGAAAAGTGTTTTTAAAATTGGTCGATAAGCATTTCCCTCCCTCTAATAAATTACATAAAATTTTTAATCGAAATACAATTAAAGTTAGCTACAGTTGCACAAAAAATATGGAAAGAATTATAAAAAGTCACAATAATGCTTTGTTAAATAAAAAAGAAATCCTAAATGAAAAAACTACAGAAAATTGTAATTGTAAACAAAAAAAAAATTGTCCAATGAGTAGAAGTTGTTTATCAAAAAATGTGGTATATAAATGTGTTGTTTCCTCTAAGAATGTACCCGATAAACAATATATTGGCATAACAGAGGGTGAATGGAGAAAACGTTTTGCCAATCTTTTAAAAATAAAAAGTATTCAAAAAACACCATGCTGTCAAAATATATATGGGAACTAAAAGATAAAAATATTGATGATTTTATACTGAATTGGTCCATCCTTCAAACAGCGCCTGCATACAACAATATTTCCAAAAAATGCATACTATGTCTACAAGAAAAATTTCAAATAATTACACATGCAAACCAAGAATGTTTGTTAAACAAAAAATCAGAATTGATTTCTAAATGCAGACACGAAAATAAGTTTCTCTTAAAAAACTATAAAAATAAGTGAGCTCAAATAATAGTTACATTAAATCCCCCCTTTTTTGAAAATATTTTTATAAAAAAAATTAAAAAAAAAAAAAAAAAGCATAAGTAACCATTTCTAAATTCTTTTTATAATAGTGTCAGCAAATTCCACAAATGTGTGAAAATTTACAGTAGTTAAAGCATTTGCGACTTCCTGTAATTTAATTTTTTGGTATAAATTGAAGTTTTATTAATTTGATCATTCATTTCTGATGAGTCTTTGTTGATGAAACACAGTGTAAAATGAAAAAAATTTTTGTTAAGTGATTTTCTACTAATGTATAATTGCTCTGTTCTTTTAAGAACATTGAGCACTCTATTTTGTAGAATACATTTTTTTTTAAATTGTTTAAATATATATATATATATATATATATATATATATATATATATATATATATATATATATATATATATATATATATATATATATATATATATATATATATATATATGTGTGTGTGTATATATATATATATGTATATATATATATATACATATATATATATATATATATATATATATATATATATATATATATATATATATATATATATATATATATATATATATATATATATATATATTAAATATATATATATATTAAATATATATATATATATTATATATATATATATATACATATATATATATATATATATATATATATATATATATATATATATATATATATATATATATATATATATATATATATATATATATATATACATACACACACATATATGCATAAGAAAAAATTGTACACTAAAAAAACCATACAGTCATGAAAAAAAGTCTTGTGTCCAGTAAATTTTTAATAGGATTTCTTGCTAGATAAAACAGAAACACGAAACAATCACTCTATATTTGTACAGTTTATATTGTTCATTTTTTCATAAACTACAGTAAATAGTCAGTTGAGAAGTGGAAGAATTACTAATACTTAGTATGTCCACTCTTAGCTAAACGCAGCTGTTCAATTTATTGAGGCATAGACTCAATAAGATCTTGTAGGTGCTGTGGAGTGATATTGTTCCAAACATTTTGCAGCAAGTTCTAAAGTTCATCCTGATTGCGTTGCTTTTCACCCCTGATTGCCCTGAACAGGATTTTCTATACATGTTCAATGGGATTCATATCCGCTTATGGTAAGATGCATAATCATGTTGAAAGATAAAGGAACCTCTTCCGCCATAAAGCTCTCTATCTGTAGGTAGCATGTGAATTCTACACTAGTATGGTTTTAATCAAAGTATTTTGATGTTTTTTTACTGTTTTTTATTTATTGTTTTTTACTGTTGTTTATTTATAGTTGCACTACATTATATTTTTGTTAATTATAGTTTATTTAGGTAGTCGCAGTTGAGTGCACATACACTGACTGACTTAAATAGGAATAAGCGCAAATAATAGTTAAAAAGTACATAAGATAAAAAAGTTCTTATCAGCATATGAATTGTACATAAATAACTTTTTTTTCTATTTTCACCCATAATCATTGCAATTTCGTAACTTTAAATACTCTAAGTAGATAAAATAAGTTTAAAAAATTTAAAAAAAAATTAATATAGTATACAGTAGCATGCAAAAGTTTAGAAACACCAACTTTTTTCAATTTTTACTGCATAACCTTTCACAAACTTTTTAAATAAGCTAAAATTTTTACCAAATGTGCTCTATATTATTTCAATTAAAAATACAAACCACAAAAGTTGTAAATTGAATGGTTAATTAACTTTTAATTTTTTTTTTTTAAAAGTTTTCGTGCAAAAGTTTAGAAGCAGTATCATACCACGCAACTAAATTATGTTTTTGTAAACAAAAACAAACTATAAGGTCAAAATATTTGTGAAAATTAAGGCAACTTAGTGCCAAAATGTTGGTAAAATTTTAAAATTCAATTACTGCAAAATATTAAAAGCATAGGTAAAGCTAATGAAGTTTCAAACGAAATAAAGGATTTAATTTAAAAACCGTGGGAAATAAAATGACTTACAAGCAGATTTCTGAACTTTACAATGTTTCTTAACCAGGAATAAGTCACATTATGAAAAGAATTAGTCTGCACAAAACTATTTGAAAACAAACCTTGCTCTGGAAGACCTAAAGTTACAATTGAAAAGTCTGATAGATTATTAGTTACGTATTCCAAAAATAATCTTTGCAAGTCTGCTGTCTAACTTAATTCATTTATGCATCAGTTTCATGGCACAAACTGTAGTGTCGACACAACTAACCTAAACGTTAATTAATCTTTAGGAGTACATCGACCGGCAATGATTAATACTAAGTGCTTTATTAAAACTATTTTATTGTTGAAAAATTGTTATTTTGTGAATTTTAGTTTAAAGTTTCAGCTTTTTTGAAATAAATATTATTCAAGTTCAGTTGTTTCTAAACTTTAAGTTGTTTATTCTAAACGTAAAGTTGAAATAAATATTAATCAATTTCAGTTGTTTCTAAACTTTTGTTTTTAAACTAAAGCATGCTTTTTCAAAAAAACAATTAAATGTTAATTAATCGTTTAATTTTACAATTTTTGTGGTTTGTATTTTAAATTGAAATAATATAGAGCACATTTGGTAACTATTTTAGCTTATTTATGAATGTTTGTAAATAGTTATGCAGTAAAAACTCAAAAAAAGTTGGTGTTTCAAAACTTTCGTACACTACTGTAAAATAATATAAACTACAAAGATAAAAGAAAGTATGCTAATTTTTTAATATAAAAATCAAAATAAAGGTTTATACTTACAAATGTTAAAAACAATATGCACTGCTTAAATCTTAAACCAAATTTTTCAAACATTATCTTAAATATGAATATAACTTGACTTAATATATATATATATATATATATATATATATATATATATATATATATATATATATATATATATATATATATATATATATATATATATATATATATATATATATATATATATATATGTATGTATATATATATATATATATATATATATATATATATGTATATATATATATATATATATATATATATATATATATATATATATATATATATATATATGTTTAAATTTTTTTTCTAATATCTCATCAAGTATTGATGAAAAAGTCTATATACTTGAGAAGTTTGGAACAAATTATTCTTATTTGCAAAATTGATGAAATGTTAATTGGAGTTAGCAAAGAAGTATGAAAAAATGCATATCCTATACTGGAAAAATGTTCTGTGGTCAGATGCGCCAAAAGCATTTAGATATAAATACAAATTTAAAGAAGCTATAATAAGTGCATAGGATAATATAACAAGTTCATAGATTTCATTAGACATCACCTAGTAATTAGAAAATTGATTGTCTTTTATACTGATTTTTAAAAAGTATTAAATACTAGACCTCATAAGAGATTAAATTAAATGGGTATGACATTAAAAATAAATTGAGTGTATTGGATAATATAACAACAGTAGAGACCCATAATTGGGTCAGCCTAATGCCAAATAGGATATCAAGACTCATAAAAGCCTCACTTAATACTAATTTTAATGAAATATTATTAGCTTTAGAATAATAACTCTATTATAATTTTTTTTTTGCATTCTCTTACATTTCTATTGTTGTGCAAAAGAAAACAATAATTTTTTTACATTTCTACGTTGTACAAAAGAAAAATATAATTTTCTTATATTTCTACATTGTACGAAATAAAAATATAATATTCAAATATCATAATAATGTTTTGGATGTGATTTTTTTTAAGTGTATGATTATTTTTTATACATACTGTTTATAAGCAGCCTTCTTGACTGAGTTTGTTCTTAAAAGGTTTCATCAGATTTTGAAAAAAATTAAAATGATATGATCATGTTTTAGTTTTTATTCAAGAAATCTTGTTTAGATTTTTTTTCTCAATAAGTTTTAGTTTATTTCCTAATATGATATCTGATTTTTTGTGCTTTTCACCGTTATTCAAACTTTCATCATAACTTTTTTTTACACTTTTTTCTTCACGGTTTTTGTTTTAAAGATTTAAACGTAACTCTTCAAGAACTGACATCTTTGATTTCTATAACAACATGTAACCTTGTTTTTTATATTTTTATATTTATTTTTTATTATTTTCATCATTAAACTAATGTCACACTTGTTTTATCTTTTAACATTATAAAGCTATATATTTAATTTGTATAAAACAAACTATTTCAAATTTTTTTTTTAGTTCAAAAAGTGCATATATAACATCACAAATTACTATTGGAAATTTACTATTGGGTGTTGTTGACACTTTAAAATGGCGTCTTTTTAATGCAATGGTACAAAATCTAAATAAAGATTCTTTTCCAAAGCTGAATGTTATGAATGTTAAACTTCAAAGTTTAGGTAAAATTAACTTCAAAATAATATATATTTTTTTCAGCAGCTTGGAATTTTAGCAACTTAAATAACGGAATAATATAATGAAACATATCTGTTTTTAAATGTATATGCATTTTGTATTTTTAACTCCCCAAAACCTAGGGTTATAATAATTATAATCACTTCTCACTACTTTAGTACAGGAGGGCTCTAGAGTTTTAACTTCAAAAAATTCATCCTTATTTCTTTATTTCCTTATTTCTATTGGAAAAGTTAAAATTATTCAAATCTTTACCAAAAATTAAAAAAAGTTCTCGAAATAAAAAAAAAAAACTAAAGTTGTTATTCAAGTTGGCTAGGCTAAATTAAAACTCAATTATACTTGTTTTTACTAATATTAAACACTTGCAGCTTATTTAGGTCGAAATCAAATTATTATTTTTCATTGAAATATTCAGACGTATTTTAATTCAACATGTCAGATAAGCTTGTCAAATTCTAAGGAAAAAGAGATAATTGTTTAATTAAAAGAGTTTCAAGAGTTTCAAGCAAGTTACATAAATGCTCAAAAAAGAATTAAGGTTAAAGATGTGTTGTGTTTATTCTAATTAATCTTCTGATGAATCCAGTCAATTAAATTTTAATTTTAATATGGTTATTTTAGGGCCCATTCTAGATTTCTAAAAGAACTTAAAAGTTATTATTATGCTTACTTTGCTTTTTAGCTTAAAGTTTGTGTATTTTATATCAAAAATAAAAAAAAATAAAAAAAGGAAAGTTTAAAATGAAAAATTTTGTGGATTGCATAGATAAACACTGTCTTTTAGCTAAAAAATTGTAAAAAAAAAAATTTTCCCCTCTAAATAGTTCAAGTTCTGCAATATATAGAGCAATGTATATATACATATATACAGTACTGGACAAGTCTGAGACCAAGGGTTGAAAAAGACTAAAAACTGATTTTAACCATAAAATTTTATTCAATGAACAACCATGTCAATTTTTTCCAATATAATTCATATTACTAGGAATAAGTACAACATACTTTGTGAAATAAAACACAAAATGTCCATGTCATGTCAGTATTTTATGGGCATTTCTTTAGCCGCTAGCACAGCAGTAATTCTCCTGGGCATAGAATTGATCAAATTTTCATAGTAAGCAGGAGTGATTTCATTGGACCAAACCAACATTATCTTTTTTTTCAAATCATCATATGATGATGGCTTTAAAGCGGCTACCTTTTTCTTTAACAGATGCCAGCAATTCTCTATTGGATTTAAGTCGGGCAAGGATCCCGGCCAAGGAGAAAGTACCTGAATATTTTTCTCAGCAAGCAATTTAGTAATCACCTTTGTCCTGTGACAGATTGTACAACCAGAAAGAGGCAGCCACTGAAGCAAATTGCTTTTCAAAATTTTCAGATATTCATTGGCATTAATGGTTGTTTTAGGAGGCATGAACCAAATACCTGCTTGTCCTCTGGTTGAAATTGAAGCCCAGACCATGATTGATTGGCACTGTTTAACATTGTATTTGGTGTACTTGGGATTCAGTCGCTGATTAACAGGTCTATAAACAAAAGAATGAAGAGGAGCAAACTGCTTTATTTGACTTTCATCCGAAAACATTACTCGCGCCCAATCCAACGCTGTCCAGTCTTTGTGCTTTTGACAAAAGGCAATCCGATCCTTGATGTTCTTGGCAGAAAGCCTAGGTTTAATGGAAAGACGCCAGGCATGCAGGTTGAAATCAGAGGATAGTCTTCGTCTGATAGTTCTGGAGGAAACAGTAACAGAGGATGGCAAGTTGTGTTGTATTACTGTGGATGATGACATTGAAGAATTAGTACAAGTGCTATCAATCAAGCGGTCAGTCTGCATAGAGGTATATTTTGGTCTACCAGATCTTTTTCGGGAAGTTAAGCTGCCAGTCTGCTGCAATTGAGTTATTGTGTTACGAACTGCAGTTTTAGAAATAGACAAACGTTCAGCAATGCTTCTCTCGGTGTATCCCTCCTCTTTTAAAATACTGATCTGTGCTCGAACTGATATTTGTAACTCACACATTTCAGTGAAAGAAAATTAATGCTAAAATCAAAAATGAGAATTTGAAGCACAAACAGCAAATGCCAGATTCATTAAACAATAACTATATAAATATGCAATACAGTATGTATGTATGTAATGCATGTATATAACAACATAATACCACAACAGCGCTAATATGCGTCAATCCTAAGACACTTTCATGTTTATTATCTGATATAAACTATTATGTAATCTATAATTTGCCATCACGCAGTAATAAACTAATGCAAATATCAATGCAAAACCAAATAATATAGTGCATGGTTCATATAAAGTTCAAAGAAGTTATGCGTGCAACATACTACATATATGACAATTGTATTACTCATCAGTTTTCCTCACATCATCAGTGATGCTGACAATAAATTGTTGTGTTCTGAATTATGTTGAGTTACTAATATGAATTATATTGGAAAAAGTTGACATGGTTGTTCATTGAATAAAATTTTATGGTTAAAATCAGTTTTTAGTCTTTTTCAACCCTTGGTCTCAGACTTTTGTCCAGTACTGTGTATATATATATATATATATATATATATATATATATATATATATATATATATATATATATATATATATATATATATATATATATATATATATATATATATATATATATATATATATATATATATATATATATATATATATATATATATATATATATATATATATGTGTGTATATATATACATTTTTTTATGTTGACAGAAAAAGTCTCAGACATATTTGATTGACAACAACAATTTTTAGGTTGTTGTCTGTCAAATATGTCTGAATGTCAAATAGGTATAACATGTGAGAGTGCTGCTACATCAACTGACAATTAGATTCTTGACTTGATGCATGTGTTATGCTTGTGTCTCTGTTTTTATGACTAGGCAACTCATTCTATTATCTCCTAATGAGGGTACAGCTCTAAAACTCAGTTTTATGGTTCTGAGGCTGGCTGGTAGTCAGGTTTCCCAAACTCTGTGGTAGCTCTCAGAGAGGCTGATTCCATCAACAGCTAAAAAAATCAAAGAACTAACAGTGCCATGTTGCGCATGGATGGTGTCGCTGATTGTACTTTTGGTGTGCATTGCCAAGGCCACATTGGAGTCTTTTGTTATGACTTAGGGTTTATTAATAGTAATGAGGCAATTGCTTGGGCCATTAAACAGTGTACTGAGTACTATCTATGTTTCGAGTCAAGTTCTTTAACAAATTTAAAAATGAATAAAGTAACAAAAACTAAACACAAAAAAACCACAATCATCACCAAGTTCGCTAAACCTATCATTCACTAATACTTGTGGTCTTTGAAGCAACTTTTCTTCTATTTAGTCTTATCTCTTGCAAAGTTCACCAGACCTAATTGCTCTTTGTGAGACTAATTTGAGTTCGGCTGTCTCGTCTTGTGATCTAAGTGTTGATGGTTATCTTCCTTTAATTTGTAAAGACTCCAATAGTCTTATGCTTGGCCTAGGCATTTACATTCCTAAGAGTTCACCCATTTGTCAGGAAACTAGGTTTAAATCCACAGACTACTCTTTTATGTGCTATTGTTTAGCACCACTTCACTCTATCACCTTTCTCTTTGTTCTATATCGCTCTCCTTCATCTCAAGACTGCACTCTTCTTGATGTTATTTCTGATCATATTAACCAAGCCCTCTCTCTTTATCCATCAACCAATATTGTTGTTGTCGGTGACTTTAATGTTCATCACACTGAATGGCTTGGTTCTAGTGTCAGTGACTCTGAAAGCATTAAAGCTCACAACCCAACATTTACCTTCGCTACTTGACTTATGTCTTGTTTATGATCTTAGACAGTGCTCAGTTTCTCCACATTCATCCTTAGGTGCTTCCGATCATGGTTTGGTCTCTCTAAAACTATTATCATTCTTCTTTATCATCAGAATCCCCCTATCATTGTACTTCTTAACTACCTTAAAGCTGACTGGGACTTTTTCCGTGATTTTCTTTGTGATGGCTTTTGGGTAGAAATCTTTTGTCTTTCTGTTGACAAATGTGCCTCTTACATAACTTCGTGGATTCAGGCTGGCATGGAATCCATTTGATCCCTCTCAATGATTCCAGGTCAAGCCTCACTCTTCTCCATGGTTTTTCTCACATTGTGCTGCTGCAATCGCCAATCGAAACCATTACTTCCATATCTATCAGCAAAATAGTTCTCTAGAAAGCAGACGTCTGTTTATTACTGCTAGGAACCATTGTAAAAAGGTTTTAACTAACGCTGAAGCCGGCTATTTTTAGATCATGAAATCTCAGATTTTATTACAAAAATTAGGCTCTCGTGACTTCTGGCGAATCTTTAATAGTATCAATAATAAGGGCAAATTTGTAATTCCACCTCTTTTGTATGGTTCAGACTTTGTCACCTCACCTAAAGACAAAGCTGAATTGTTTGCTAAGAAGAATTGTTTGCTCTTGATTCCACTAGTTGCGTTCTACCTGGTATAGCCCTCAAATAGGTTGATCCATTGCTCATCCGTATTACTCCAGCTTCAACTCTTCTACAGCTTGTGGCCTGGATAACATACCTGTTGTAGTCTTGCAGAAGTGTTCTCTGGAGCTGTCGTCTATCCTTTCAAAACTATTCAACAAGTGCTTAGAGTCTTGTTTTCCAGCCTGGTGGAAAGCAGCATCTAATATCCCTATTTTGAAAAATTCTGGAGAGTGATCTGATTCTTCTAACTACCGTCCCATTAGTCTTCTTCTTATCATTATGCAGTAGTGGTGCAGTGGTAAGAGCGCTCGCTTTGTAAGCGAGAGGTTCGGAGTTCGACCACTACGTCCCAGGAAGTACCGCGCTCAACTTTCTCAAAATTTCTCCGCGCAGTGGTCTTGCCTGTCAAGGTTCGTGTTTCAGAGTTAAAGAGTTGAGAGAGGGTTTTACCACGATTTACAACAAAAAAAAAAAAAATGAGTAGCCTCCTTGACTGTAGTGGATCCCTCCTTGACTGTAGTGGATCCCTTACTTTCTGATCATCAATATGGATTTCAATCTTCTTGTTCTACGGCTGATTTGCTAACAGTAATAACCCATTGGTTTTATCGTGCGTTAAATAAAGGTGGAGAGGTTAAGGCCATTGCTCTTGACATTTCTAAAGCATTTGATAAAGTTTGGCATGCTGGTCTTCTCCATAAGCTTTCTTCTTACGGTGTATCTGGAAACATCTTTAAGATTATTGAATCCTTACTTTCCAATTGTAGTATAAAAGTTGAAAAAAGAAGAAGAGTGCTGTTCTAGATGGACAGCACTCTTCTTCTTATTATGTAACCTCAGGGGTTCCTCAAAGTTCAATTCTTGACCCTATACTCTTTTTAATTTACATAAACGATCTTTCAGATATTCTCACACCTAAGGTGGCATTGTTCACTGATGATACTACCATTTATTCTTGTCACAATAAGAAGCCAACTCCCTCTGATTGCTTGGAGGGGGCTTTTGAGCTTAAAAAGGATCTCACTTCTGCTACAGTATGGGGCTTACAGTAGCTGGTGAACTTTAAACGGATCCCAAACTCCCAACACATGTTGTGTTCATATTAAAGATAATGTTAAAAAAAAAGGTTTGAACCAAATTTTTTTGATTAAAAAAAAATAATGAATGCATACCATGAAAAACAAATGTTGTTGTTTTTGCCGAAGCTCGTCTTCTCCATTTTTTTCAACTACTCGGAGTCTTCAAATTATGCGTCGCAATCTACAGACTTTGGCAATTCCTTTGAAGCGCGTTTAATTCATAAAAGTTTTAGTATTTGACGTCACGGTAGACTTTTAACAAAAGAAACTCTGGAAATATTTTTATTTATTTTTAGTCGAAGTTTTTTTGATTATTTTTCATATAAAAAATTGCCAAAGTCTGTAGATTGCGACGCATAATTTGAAGACTCCGAGTAGTTGAAAAAAATGGAAAAGACGAGCTTCGGCAAAAACAACAACATTTGTTTTTCACGGTATGCATTCATTATTTATTTTTAATCAAAAAAATTTGGTTCAAACCTTTTTTTTTAACATTATCTTTAATATGAACACAACATGTGTTGGGAGTTTGGGATCCCTTTAATTCAGATAAAACTCAATTTTTTTCAGCCAATCTTTATTGCAATAATTTAGATCTTCCTATATTTATGAACGGTAATGTACTCAATGAGTCATCTACTCTTAATCTTCTAGGATTAACTCTTACTTCCGATCTTTTTTAGAAACCATATATCAAATCAGTTGCAAAATTAACATCTGCTAAGGTTACATCTTTTATCGAGGTCAACACTTTTTTACTCGGGATACTATTCTCTATCTCTATAAATTTCAAATCCAGCCTTGTATGGAATACTATTGCCATATCTGGGGCAAATCTTCTAGTGATGGCCTTTCTCTTTTAGACAGGGTGCAACAACGCATTGTAAACATAGTTATACCTGCTCTTGCAGCCAACCTCCAACCATTATCACATGATCACAATGATTCTTCTCTTTCTCTTTTCTACAAATACTATAATGGACACTGCTCTAAAGAACTAATGTCTCTTGTGCCATCTACTAAAATTCATTCTCGTGTTGTGTATATATATATATATATATATATATATATATATATATATATATATTATATATATATATATATATATACACACACATATGCACATATATATATACACACATATGCATATATATATATACACACATATGCATATATATATATACACACACATATGCATATATATAAACACATATGCATATATATATATGTATATATATATATATATATTATATATATATATATATATATATATATATATATATATATATATATATATATATATATATATATATAAGCTTTAACGGGAAGCACGTGTGGTTGCACATCTTTATCGTCCAGGTTTGAAGTAGTTTTTTTTGAAAAACTGACCACAGCAGTTTGCATCTTTTAACTTATAAAGTGTTTCAATAATTTGCGGCAAAATGCTAAACTTATCTACTAAGAAGGAAAAAAAAAAAAATTGTAACAAAATATCAAGTTTAATTAAGTAAACTCAAAAATTAAAAAAAAAATAAATTAAATTTTTTTTTTTTATTTCTAAAAATTTATATACAACTTTTGTATTCTTTTTTTTAAAGTCGTTGTTGAAAAATCATTATCTTTTATAACGATTTAACAACAACTGAAAGTTTTGATATGCAATTTATTCATGATTTTATCAGTCCGTATAATTAAGAAACTTTTTTTCTAACGTTTATTTGTTTTGCACCACTTTTTGCTTTTAAAAATGTTTTTGCTTTATTTGAGGTTTTTTCTCAATACTTATAAAATAGGAAAATAAGAAAATAAATCATTATTTATTTGTAAAATATATTATTTTTGTAAAATAATTATATATAATTATATTAAATAAAATTATATTATATAAAATTATATTATATTAAATAATTATATATAATTATATTAAATAAATGAATAACATGGTTTCTTTACTAAATGTATTTACCGCATTTGATGCATGTCTGAAATTGGTTCTTTTATAATGCCCAATTTCCAATATTAATATGAATTACTAGAGTTAATGAACATAATGATTGCTCTGTTTAAAAAAATGTATTGAAAAACTTTAAAAAAAAGTTTAAAATAGGCTCCTAAACTTTTTGTTAACAAAGCTCAGTAAAGTAACGATGTACTAGCTCACAAGCTTTTAGAGCATCGTCAATAACAATAGCTCATCAGGAAATGCACAATTTGGATAATCCTACAAAAAGTGAAGACTATTTCAATTGGGTATTGAAAATAACCAAAAATTTTGTATTTAAACACTAGTATTAATTACTTTTTATTTTTTTACTTTAAAAATTTTTTTAAAAAGTTTTTTCTTACAAATAAATAACAATGAGTTTTTTTGCTTTCCTATGCATTGATAAAAACAGTAAAGTTTAGCAAAAATATTTGAAAAACAAATTTAAAAATTGTCATGTTTCTAGCGCAAATTATTAAGTATTTCCTTAATATATTGATAAAAAAAAGTCCCAAAAAAACTGTTTATCAAGAAATATTTTTATTTTTGTTATATTCTTACTTTTTTCCTTGACGTGTATCAATTTTGGTAGTGGAAAGTAACAAACAATCTAAAAATAAGAAAATAAAAACAATAAAATATTTAGGTATATATATATATTTTTTTTACAACAATTTTCAACAAGTTTTTTTTTTAATTAAATTATTCCATTTTTTTAACTTATTTTATTTAAATTTTCTATTTCATATAGTCTTTGATTCTTTTCTTCGAGTATTGCTGTTTTGTTCTCTTTAGGTTCTCTATAGCTTTATTTTGCCGCAAATTCTTAAAACGCTTACTATATAAAAACGTGGTCAAGTTGTCTAAAAAAATTATTTTAAGCATGGACAAACAAGGCGTGCAATCGCACGCGCTTCCTGGAAGTCTTGATATATATGTGTATACATATATACATACATACATACATACATATATATGTATGTATATATTATATATATATATATATATATATATATATATATATATATATATATATATATATATATATATATATGTATATATATATATATATATATTTATATATATATATATATATATATATATATATATATATATATATATATATATATATATATATATATATATATATATATATATATATATATATATATATATATATATATAGACACACACGCATATATATATATATATATATATATATATATATATATATATATATATATATATATATATATATATATATATATATACAAAATAGTCATTGATTTCATTGTTATAGATTCTTGCCCGGCAAATGTTTTTGGTGAAACAAATTACAAAGGTCAATATACATTTGAAATGACTTTTGTCAACCAAGATAAAGCAAATGTGCTGCTAAATTGTACTTATCAAAGTAATGGGTTTGTACAAAGAATTTGTCATACTGATTTAAAAAATGGTGCTTTCTGGGATGTTCCTGATTTAACAAATTGTGAACCTAAGACTGAGACAACAAAGAAATTGATTCAGTTAAATAAGGTTTTTATATATTTTTTATAAATATCTGTATTTCATATATTTGGTATTGATTATAAAGTTTTAACTAATTTTTTAATGTAATTTTAATGATATCAAAGTGTGCAGCTCTAGCCCAACAACCAACATTGGTGAGGAAGGAACAACCAACATTGGTGAATATTGGTGAACAACTAACATTGGTGAGGAAGGTACAACCAACATTGGTGAGGAAGGAACAACCAACATAAGTGAGGAAGGAACAACCAACATTGGTGAGGAAGGAACAACCAACATTGGTGAGGAAGGAACAACCAACATTGGTGAGGAAGGAACAACCAACATTGGTGAGGAAGGAACAACCAACATTGGTGAAGAAGGAACAACCAACATTGGTGAGGAAAGAACAACCAACATTGGTGAGGAAGGAACAACCAACATTGGTGAGGAAGGAACAACCAACATTGGTGAGGAAGGAACAACCAACATTGGTGAGGAAGGAACAACCAACATTGGTGAGGAAGGAACAACCAACATTGATGAGGAAGGAACAACCAACATTGGTGAGGAAGGAACAACCAACATTGGTGAGGAAGGAACAACCAACATTGGTGAGGAAGGAACAACCAACATTGGTGAGGAAGGAACAACCAACATTGGTGAGGAAGGATGAACTTCCTAGTTAAATTCTCATCAGCATTTAACAAAAGAAAAATAAATGTACATCTTATATCTTTTAAAAAAAAAATCATATACCTGCAGAGACACCTGTAACACATGAGTTTTGAGAATTTTTTTTTTTTAAATTGGAAAATCATTGAAACTTTGTGAAAATTGAAATGATGTTAATCAAAATTTAAGTCAGAAGTTTTTTTTGCAATAGATACAAATAAAATCCTCAAACACCTAAATATCAGCAGATTTTAGAATATTGAATTTCTCTATGTTGCTAGTAGTACTTTTAAGAACCTCCCCCCCCCCCCCCACCTACCCTAAATTGCAGATTCATTTTTTGATATACTTTTTATAGCGCTTCAAGGAGTAAAAATGTTATTATTTCAAAAACAAACATTTATTAAGAATTTTTTCTTTAAGTTGTATGTTTTTTATATTAAACTCATATCTCCCACCCCTATACATTAAAGTACTTTAATTGCAGAATCCCCCATCCCCTTATAAACACATTAACTTGGGTTTTATAATTGTGTGCTATATTTTTAATACCGGGATTTTAATAATATATGAAGTTCTATTAAGAAGACTTAAAAGAACTTCATATATTATTATTGTAAAATGTTATTATTATTATTACACTTATCTTTTACTTGCCCCTTATGCCATTTGTCTCAAAAAATGACATTTCTTTTTTTATTGAGCGTGTGAGATCTTCTTTATTTTGGTGGATTCCACTCTCAGGTAATCTGGTGCAAATTTTTTTTTATATTACCATATTTAATATTTCTAACTTTTCAAAACTTTTCAAACAAACATGATTCTATCTAATTTGAACTGTGTAAATTTTTTTCATCCCTAAAAAGCTCTTTAAACCAATGTTGACCACTCCAGTTTAGATGCTGTAATGTTAACTCTTCTCAATCATTTTAGCTCTTCAGGTAAATTGATGACTTTTAGGCTGGGTGTCTTCCAAACACACTTGCATTTGTAAACAACATTTTGTAACAGAAATATTACTATTTGTTCCATAAAAATGTTTTATTTGCTTATTTAAAACAATTGCTGTCAAATAAGGTTTTTTGTTGTTTAGTATTCTGAGCGCTTTATCCTGATAATATGTATATTATAATATGTTAATATGTTTTCTTATATATGATAATATGTTTTCTTGCGTGGTCTTCCTGATTTCTTTCAAATCTTTTTGGATCCCGTAAGTTCATATCTCTTCATAATTTGTCTATCAGCAGATTTACCGGTTCCATAAAATTGTGCTGTCTTATGAAATAAATTTCCATTTGAATTGATATTTCAGTTTTTTCATTGTTTTTTAATAATTTCCACAAAGTGTTTGTTTACAAAATCAATAAACTAGCAATTTTTTAGACAAAAAGTGTGTCTCAGTATGTTCAAAATTTTTGAGACTTAAAACTCATTAATTTTTTAATCAATTAAAGTACATAAATTAGATTATTAATATTCTTTCAAAACATAACATTAAAAAGAAAATCTATTAAATATAGAATATATTGGATTTAGTGAAGTTAGTGCTAAAATGTTAGTAAAATTTAATTTTATTTAGTCTGTTCGCAAATTTTAGGATGCCACTGTATATATTATAAAAATAATTGTGTTAAATAAACTAAACTTTACAATATTTTTGAGTAACAGTCTACAAATTAATATAGGTTAATTTTTGAGAAAAAAGTGTTGATACTGTATGCTTGTACATATTTTAAGAACTTTAACAATTGGTTAATTAAGAGCAATGGGTATTAGTTTTTTTTTTCTTCGTTGGCATTATCCCCAAAAGTGCAATCATTATTATACACACACACATATTTTTTTTCTTTCACCTCTCTGATTGCAGGGGTCACTACAGCCAAGGAAGCTCATTTTTTGTTGTTGTTGTTTCAAATCACTCTTTCAACACTTAAACTTTAAAAGCTTAAAGTTAAAAGCTTAAAACTTTAAAAGCTTAAGTTTTTTAAGCACCCCTACTAATGTGTTTTTAACATGTTGAATGTGTTAAAAACACATTAGTAGGGGTGTGGTTATAATTGAACTTGTTTAGGAAAAAGGACTATACCACTACACAATACAGTGATTATCTTTTTCCAGATATTTCCAGAATTCCAGATTTTTTTTTCAACTTTTAGTTTTTCCAGATATCCATTTTCAAAACATGCAAATTGAGGTATATATTCTTGTAATATATTTATTTTTTAAGCTTTTTCACTCACCAATATTTTGAAGTTTTTATTCCAGAAATTAAAAATATAGTAATATTGAAGATTAAGTAAATTATATTTCAAAAGAAAAAAAAATTTAATAAATAAAAAATAATTTTTTGCTTTTTTAAAGGAATCAATTTGTGTTAGAGATGTCATTGAAAATTGTGTATTAATAAACGTTGTATCAAAGAATCTCAGTGATACAGTGCGGGATGGATCAGAAATAACAAATTATCACGATGTCAATTTTATTTCCAAAGCTTTAGAAACAATTGTTAGTGTGTTTATTAAAGCCAAAGATGCATCAGATCAGGTGTGTTTTATTTAGTTTCTATATTGTTGAAATAACTATTTAATTTTTTGATTTATATCGGTTTTATTTTTTACTTGTAATTTTTGTTCATTGTTTTTTGTTATTTTTATTTATTTTTTTAGATTAACTTTGTTTTATTTTAAATGTTTTTTAAATACTTTTGTAAATATTGTTTACATAATATTTATTTATTTTAAACAATTCGTTATTAGTTTTTACTTTATTAATTTTAAATTGTTGTTGTTTTTACAGAGTAATTTTGTTTAGGTTTTCATAGATGTTTTACAAACAATTGATATTGTGCTCGGGTCAAATAAAATATATATTGCAGAATCACAAGTTAAAAAATCTTCTTCAACAAGTATTTTAAACACTCTTACAGAGTTTGCATTAATTTATTCTAAACAACTTAATAAATCTATTTCTGTTAGTAAAAAAAATATTGGATTCCATATCGATAAAGTAAAAAAAAGTAATGTAATAATTACAGCGCAGCAGTTAGCAAATAATAGCGTTGGAATAAGTTTTAGTAACAATGTTGATATTACTAATAAAACATTTGCTGTCATCAAAATACCAAGTGAAGTGTTTTCTGATGAAAATGATATTATTTACTCATACTTCTTTCGCTATGATTCTTTTTTGTTAAATGAAAATAGTTTATTACATCCTGAGGAGAAAAATATTGCAGCCAAAAAATTTGTTCAAAGTGCTATATTGTCTGCATCTATTGTTGATAGGAATGTATCTAAATTAAGAAATCCTATTATTTTAACATTTAAAAAGATTTTATCAGAGTATTCTGGCATTAGCAATTGTCATTATTGGGATGAAAAAATTAGTAAGTTATTTAATTTTGTAAATCAAAATATTATAATATATATATGTATATATATATATATATATATATATATATATATATATATATATATATATATATATATATATATATATATATATATATATATATATATATATATATATATATATATATGTATGTATGTATACATATATGTATGTATATATATACATAAATTATATATATATATATATATATATATATATATATATATATATATATATATATATATATATATATATATATATATATATATATATATATATATATATATCAATAATAAAAGTAATTTTTCGGTAGACAGTGCTCAATACAAAAGTAGAGCAAATATGTATTAATAAAAATATGTATTATGTTATATATATATATATATATATATATATATATATATATATATATATATATATATATATATATATATATATATATATATATATATATATATATATGTATATATATATATACATATATATATACATATATATATATATATATATATATATATATATATATATATATATATATATATATATATATATATATATATATATATATATATATATATATATATATATATGTGTGTATATATATATATATATGTATATATGTATAATTTATATAAATTATTGAATAATTTATATATATGTAGGACATAACTGCATTGAATAATTTAGAAAATGGTTGGTGGCTCTGATTCATTTAAAGGTGAAGGTTAACTATGAAATATTTTAGAAAAACTGCCATTTGTTAATTCAACATTTTGCCTTTTAGGCATTCCATTAATGCATATTAGTTTATATAAATATATATTAATGTTAATAATGAGTTAAAAAAAGTTACACAAAATTTTATTTTTGTTAAAGCACAAAAGTTTAAAGCAATTTTAATACAGAATCTTAAAAGAAAGTTTAAAAAAAGTTTATATAAAACACATTAAACTTAAAAATATATTGATTTTGTTTTTCAAGTTATTAAAAACAAAATTTTTTATAAAAAAAAGTTTAATTTTAAAAACATTTTAACTAAGATATAATTAACATTTTAATGTGTATTTCTGAATAATTAAAAGTATTTTCTCCCAACATCATTAAACATTTAAATAGAAACTTAAACCTTCATCGGGCACAATATAGAAATACATGAAATCGGGTGCAATGTGCGTATTAGACACAAAGTTAAAAGTTGCTGTTTTTAACAACCCATGATAATATAAACTGTACAAAAGTAAATAATGTCTTTTGGAAGTTGAAGAAGATAGTTATTATTTTTTAATCAACTTTTGGATGGAATATTTGTACCCTAATATGTAGGCTATAAGGCATTCCAACAATATTCATGCTTCTTCTCTGTTGGTGTTTGAGTAGTAGTTCATGGAACAACTCTTTTAAAAATGATCTTATTTTTTTTCAAGGTTATTACCAATGTAAATTACTTGAGAATTGATGCCAAAAACATTAAGTCTTGTATAGAAAATTGCCATTGGCCACCATCTGGTATATTGGCTCACATTATAAGAAATGCACATTTGATCTGCTACATCAACTCCACACTTGATTAGATTGTAAAAAGTGATTTTTTACGGTTTCATTTGTTCTCCAGATTGAGGGGCAATGGAATTATTATTGTGCAAACTTGAAACTAGAATAACGTTCTTTCTTTTGCTCTAGATGTAGGAGATCAAAACTTTATTGTTATTAAAACCAAATATGCTTGTGTTTGCTTTGCTACCTTTGACATTTATAAATGTCAAAGGTAGTTTTGTAAGGTTTTTTGTTTTTCTGACAGTGCTGACAGTTTCTTAGTTTTTAATTTATCAATAAGATCGAAACTAGTAAACCAATTATCCACTGTTTTATTTCTACTAGATCCAAATAAAGGTTCAGCCATTCTTATCATTACATCACTTAGTTTGTTGCTAAAACAGAAAGGAGTTGTTCAGCATTTATTTCCAATTCAACAGTATAAAACATCCTGGCATCAACTAGACTATAAAGTTTTATACCGTTTGGGTTTGAAGTTATGTATTGTCGAAACTGTCATCTACCTCAAAATCTCAAAAGCATTTCATTAATAGTTAGATTTTTCCCAGAACTAAAACTTTTTAATAGTTATTGACAAATTTTTCAAAAATGATTCAAACTAGGGCAAGGTAGATATTTTCTTAGGTTTCTAGGTCTTAGATCATCAAAACGAAGATAACAAATAAGTGTCTTAAACCGTTTGAGGCTCATAACAAGACAGAATTTTTTGATGCCATCACCTTCTTTTCACCAAAGTTCTTTAAAATTCATTTGTTTTGTTCTATATATTCCTGCTAAATACAATAGTCAAATGAATGCTTTTACCTCGATTATGTCAGTGGATTTAATATCTCTCTGTTGCACAAACCTATCTTTTATGGATGTGACAATCAATTCAAGTATATTATCAATAAAAAAATTATTCCAACATTTATACAGAGTTTTGGCAGTTTTGGCATTTCCAATGACTCCTAGAAGATGAATGCAAATGTTGTGTGATTTTAGATATTGACTTTTTTTAGTTGTTTATCTAGCCACTATTTTTTTTTTATTTTTGTCTTTAAAAGAGTTACCTTCTTTGTCAACTTCTGTTTCATTTTCAGATTGCTCAATTTCTGAATAAAGAATGCATTGTTCAATTTCATCTTCAGAGTCAATATCACTTTCTTCTGCAAAGTTTTCAATTTCTGTGGGTTCTTCTTCAACATCTTTCTTAAGTAACTTTCTTAGTTCATCAATTTGAGACGCCATTAAATTTTTCTTAAAAAAATAAATTATGGCATAATTCGTTGCAACATGCATGTTAGGCCATTTAAAGATTTTCTATTTATTTTTATAAAATACCAACAGTTTAGTATTACATGTTTAAAATTAGCAAAGTAAACAATTCTAAAAAAAACAAGAACTAAAAATTATCTACTTTAATATAATGACTTAATCAGGCGCAATGAGCCAATCAGAACACACTAGTTCATTAATACTCTTTCCGTTATCTGTAAAATAACTTAGTAAGAGGGTTTTGTAAGTCTTATAAAGACAGGAAACTTCCAAAAAGTTCTAAATTTAAATGTGTTTCAGTGTGGAGAAAATAACAAATGAATGAAGCATGTGTCTGTTAAATCAGTTGTGCTTGATGGAGGGATAAATCATGCCAATAATATAAACCTAAGATATATATATATATATATATATATATATATATATATATATATATATATATATATATATATATATATATATATATATATATATATATATATATATATATATATATATATAATATGTATATACATGCATATATCTTTGTTACTGCAGTTTAACATAATACATATTCAACTTACAATGTCTTACTATAATAAAAATGAATTCTATAAGTATTTTACACTTGTATAAAATGTATAAAATGAGAAAAAGTAAATTTCTATAAAATTAAAAAAAGTTTAAAAAAATCTTAAACACATCAAAATTAAAAAAAATTAAAAAAGATCAAAAGCTAAGAATAAAAATATTTTAGCGTTTAAAAACATTAAATTTAAATTTAGTTTGTTTATATATGGGTTATCGTAATAATTATAAGTATTTTTTTAATTCAACTTTTTTTCTTTAAGAAACTGGCATAATAAATGTTAGTGGAAGTTGGTTGAGAACTGGTTGCTATAGATATGAGGCTGGAACTAATACAGATGAATATTTTACATGTGCTTGTGATCATCTCACTAACTTTGCTCTGTTACTTGATGTTGACCAAAGTTTAAACAATCCATTGGAATTAAAAATTATTACTTATATTGGCTGTGGAATTTCATTGATTGGATTGTTGCTTACTTTGTTTACATTAGCTGTATTTCGGTAACCTTTTTATGAACTAACAAAAAAAAAATTGTAAAAAGTATAATACATTATAATATTGCAACTGATAATAATGTTTTATTTTAGTAACCTTCGGAAAAAACTGCCTCAAAGAATTTTAATATGTCTTTGTATTTCTTTAATGGGTCTTCTGCTTGTATTTTTAATTGGTGCAGAAAAAACATCCCCTATTCAACTCTGTCAAGTTATTGCAGCTGTATTGCATTATTTTATACTATCAACATTTTGTTGGATGTTGGTGGAAGCTTTTAATTTGTATCTTTCTTTTGTTATTGTATTTAATAAAAGGAATGACTCCAATGTTTTTAGAATCGCTAACATCTTTGCTTGGGGTATGCATATTTGAACTTGTTACAGTTTTATAGAGTTAAATGTTTTTTGTTTTACTATGAAAAGGTTTTTTTAATACTAAATATGCGACCACACAGGGAAAAATAGATTCTAATGAATATTTTTTTTTTTTTTTTTTGATGTAAATATTCCAATATATTTTTCATTGTCACACTGTCAAAGTGAAAATTGGGAGTTTTGTTATTTTATTCCTTGCTGTTGGTTATTATGGACTTACCATTTAATGGCTTTGCAGAGATACAAAATGTTATGTTATACAAGAAGGGAAGAGAAGAATATACACATGCAGCACACTCACACACATGCAGAACACTCTTTCTGGACTTAGTTATTATTAAGTCTTTAGTTTACCTAATATTTAATTAAAATTTTCAAGAAATAATTGGAAAAACACTTAATTAAATTAATTAAAACACTAAAGTTTATTTATACAAGATGTTCAAGATGATGATGTTGACATTTGATGTTAGCAAGTTGGTAAAAACATTGTTATCTGTAAAAAGTTATATGCTGCTACCTGGTTTATTATATAATCTACCTTAAAAGTCTATATGAAGTTAACAAACTTAAGAAATCACCAAATTTACGAAAAGTAGTTACTATACAGCCAGTACCATGAGTTTAATGCTTTTAACAAAACTTATGAAAAGTTAAGAATAACCATTTTTAATTTTAGTGCAAACTCAGGCCCAAATGTTTAGAAAATGAGGTAACAATAACTTAAAGTGAACTTAAAAATTTATTCTCTTTTTGACATTTTTGATGGTGCTAAAAAGTAATTTTTGATCTATATAGACAAAAATGTCATGATCTGCTTCATCATGGAACAATAATGTAACAGTAATAAGTTAATCAAGTTTGCAAAATTTGAGCTAAAAATAATGTATGGGTTCTGTAGCTAGAAGAAGAATACCTGAAGATAAAAAACAAAAAATGAGTTAATGGAAATTTAAGACTAATACTCATAAAGAGGTAGAAAAAGTAGTTTTTGAAAGTATATTAAAGCAATCATAATAAAATAATAATTTTTCAACCATTAGATCCATTTCTTCATCTATGGTCACACTTATTTATATTTTTTGTTTCAGAAAAATCTATTTATAATGCAAATAAAAAAAATAATTGACAGTTGTAATTTCAATTAAATTTAAAGTAAATTAAAAATATCTATGTATAAGAGTATTAATAATAAGAATAAGGATAATAAGAATATTTATAATATTATAAAAAATAAAATCATAATGAAATATCATTATCAAAAATAAGTATTGGTGGTGTGAATATCATTATCAAAAATAAGTGGTGATTGACAAGGAAGGTGTCATTGTAGTAATAATTCGTTGTTTTGAAGTATGTAGCATTTTTCAAGAAAATCTTTTTATATTTAAGATATTATTACATAGTGAGTATAACAGGTTAATTTCTACATGTACATTTTAAGTTAATTTCAAATGTAATAAGTATTAATATTAAATTTATAAAATAATATTAAAATTATAATTTTTTTACATTAACATTGATAATCTTTAATAGTATTGTGAATTAGCAGCTGTATCTAGTAATTCAAATGACTTTCAATCGTTAACTAATTGTATCTATTATTAGGTTTTCCTGCTATAATTGTTATCATTACTGGAGTTTCCAGACCAGATCAATTGGGAAACGAAAAAATGTGAGTTGAGAGTATTTGAAAAATAAGAAATTGTATCTATTCAATTTTTTTTAATTCTTTTATCTTTATTTCAGATGTTTAGTTCGAGGATATCCGTTTTATTTTGCTGTTCTTCTTCCTGTCTGTCTGATATTGATTGTGAACTTTGTTGTGTTAATAATCACCATGCTAAGCTTGTCGAAAAGAGTTAAGGCCGGTAAAGAGGTGACGGCGACAAAAAATTATTTATCACAAATAAGAATAGCGTTTATTTGTGCTACTCTACTTGGTTTATCATGGTTGTTTGCAGTTCTAGCAATTAAAGACCTCTCGGTGATTTTTCAATGGATATTTTGCATTACAACTTCACTTCAAGGTTTCTTTATTTTTATATTTAACATATTGAGAAAAAAAGATGTCATGAATGAATGGCGGAAATGTTATGGACATTATAGGCAATACAATATTGCATCTTCGTCAAATAATCCAAAATCTTCCGATATAAAACCTTTAAAAACAATCGTATCAAAGAACTAAAAATCTTCAGAGATAAAATAGAAGAAAATCTAGCAATCTGTAAACAAAACACTTAAATGTTAAGAAATAGAAAACACTACAAGTATTTTTTTTTCTTTTTATGTCTCAAATTTTGTTTAATTTTTTTAATTGTAAAATTTTATTTTAATAAAATGATTTACACTCAATTTTTATAATAATTTCCATATCAATATAAAATGTTTAGGTTTATTTAAATTGCAATTAAATACAAATTAAAAATGTTTTAATTTGTGGTTTTATAAAAATATTGAACAGTATATTACCATGATGTCGTTCCCTATCTAAAGAGCAATTCTCCGATATAAGCATAAAAGTGTTGCTCAGAGATGTCCGACAAATCTTTACGGAGGTAAAGAGTATTTATATTTTCGCCTTATTAATCACAAATATCGAACAAAGTACTCTATCAATAACTACTATATTTCGAAAACTTCTTTAAGAGAATCTAAATTCTCAATATTCAGTAGAGCACCCCAATTGTGGAACTCGTTTCTAACAAACAAAATAAAAAAATATGAACTCATTCCAACATTTTGAATGCGTTGTAAAGCAACATCTACTAGACTTCAACATAAATGAAACAATTTCTTACTTTTAAATTTTGTTCTAAATTTTTAACTTTTCCTTTTTCAATTTAAATCTTCACTTTTTCTTAAAATTCTATTAAATTACTTCCTTGGTTATTTAATGATGTTCATTGTAAAAATAAAAATAAAAAAAAAATCTTATGTGTTACATTTATTTTATATTTGTATTTGGTTTGTATTTTGTTATATTTTGTCAACGACAAAACAGGGGCAAGACGAAAAGACTATTGCCTTCTACTTGCTCCAGTCATAAATTTCACGGTAAAATGTTGTACAAATTTATATTAATAATGACGAATATATATAAACAAAAAAAAAAGATAAAGAAAAACGTAAAACTATGAGTCTTAACATCGTTGTTCGATGCCGACTTTAGCCCAATAAGCAACATCGGTAAGGAAATGCATGAATTTCCCTAATAAATGCTTCTAAGCGGTGTTCTGTGATAAGATTTCATAAGTCTTATTGGAGCACCTTATTAACTCAAAAAAGAAGAAAAAAAAAAAGTGATATTGATAAGTTGTATGCACGCTCTAACAAAAAGTTTTAACAGAATAGTAGTCTTATAAAGGTCAATATTTTAAATACCTCTTATGTAGTAACTTCTAGAGTCACGTCCACTCTGGATAGAACGAAAATAAGTGACCGAAATGTTTTATCAGTTTAGTACAATCATCATTTATTTTTATTTATTTTTTTCTTTAGGTATACCATATAAATGCCGGTTTTATCGTGAAAAAGAAAATATTTACTAATGAGATTGATATTTACTTGAGATAAGAAAATATTTACTTATGAGATTGATATTATTTACTTATGAGATTGATGAAAATTAAAACATAAATAAAATTAATTCTAAAAATTAATTTTATTAATGCTTCATTAATAAAACATTGAAAAAATTAATTATGTGCATAGTACCTAATAATGGAAATTGAAGAAAATTTAGCATTTTTGGGTACTCAAAAAAAATACTTCGCAGATTCCCTAAACAGCGACAATGCACATAATTAATGTTCATAATTAGCGTTCAAACATTTTTCAACATAACGCGATGTTAGAATTATTTTGTTTTATCTCCACTTTTTGAAAAAAATGAGTTATTAATTGTGTAATGTACCTCAAAATAATGTTTTTCTACTATATTAAAACCTAAGTTAAAATCAAAAAAGTTTCGGAGAAAACATAAGTAATAAAAATCTTTTTATATGTCGTCTCCTAAAGTTTTTATTTTTTAAATCGTTTTGTGGAGATGTGGAGATAGAACAAAATAATTCTAACCTCGCGATAATTAACGTTCAAGCATTGTTTATTATGAACATAATTAATTTTTAAGCATATATCTATTTCTATGTAAAAAGTTAATTTAAGTAAATTTAGTAATATATATTTTTTGTAATTGCTTTGTAATTACTACTTCTATTGTTTTTGATGTATGTTTTTTTTTTTATAATAACTTTTTAAAATTATTTTAAAAATGATTTAAATGGACCAAAAATATGTAATTTCGCTTGCCGTTTAAATGACGATATTCCATTTAAATTTTTTAAACTTTGATTTTTCAAGAATTTGAGCAAAACTGCTAATGTTTTTATTCACGTAAAGCTGACCAATTACTGAGTAAAAGCAATTGCTTATTTTTATTCACCCGGCCTAATAATGCTTCCAATATCGATACTATTTTTCAATACCAGTATTTCGGTACTGAATAATTTCAAAACCGATAATACCGGTATAATATCGGTATTAAATTTTTTTTAAAATTTATCATAATATGAATAAAATCTCAAGTTAATAAAGAAAATTTTATTGATTCAATAAGCTTATATATTTTATATCAAAGTTACTGACTTTTTTATTTCTCGCTTTTTTCTCCTTTGTAAAATGAGCGTTTAGAGTATCATTGTCAAGGGATAATCGCAATTTTGTGACAATGTTGCCCCTTGCTGAAAACCCACGCTCTGATTTGACCCTTGTTAACTTTACAATTTTCAAATATTCTTAGAAATTTGGCAAGTATATGCTACGAGTTCCTTCTTCTTCGAAAACTGCAATCTCATTACATATAATTTAAGATGTATTATTCGAAACATTCAATCTTACCTTGTTGTTACATTTCTTATTTTTCGAAATTGCAAAGCCAAGTTTTTGTTTCAATGATGAGTTTACAGCGTTGTCAACAGAATCGCTATTAGAAGAAACGCTGGTGGTGGGGAAAAGATTTTACGCTTTCTGATTGAGCCAGTCGAGCAATGGTATTTACAGTAGCTAATTTGCTAAGGTGCTCAAAAGGTAGCGCTGGATCTAAATTCTCGCAACGTTGATGGCTCTTGTGTAGATTATTGTAGTAAGCTGGAAACTATTTAATAAGTTGGAAAAAGTTTTTCATCGCTCATTGAATTGTCGCACCAATATAACTTTCAGCCTAATAGCTAAATCGATTTCTCCAAGATTATCTATCATAAACATTAGTGTTTTATCGGCTGACAACAGGGTTGCATCATTTTTGGCACAATGCTTCCACAGCCAATTTTACTGACATAAGACATGAAGCAACAGCTAAAATTGCATTGAACTTCTTATCATTTACCTAAACTTTACACTAAAGGTCAATCAGTGACTTGCGAATACAATTTTACAAAAGTTCAAGCACTGTGTGCAAGCTACTTCAGCGTTTACCGTTTTAGTTATCGTATTTTGTCGAAAAATATATTTTTTTAAATATCCTGAAGTAAGTAAAAATTAAATTAAAACTTTTTCGTTTTAAAATAAATAAACAGAGAAAGATTTCTAATGAGCTTTAGTTAAAATAAAAAAACATAAAAACAGATGTGTACCTTCTCTCCGCGTTTATTGTAAGATGTTTTAAGGAAGGAAATTTAGTCGTTAAACCAAAGCCTATATATTTAATTGAAAAGTTTTTCTACCGTTTACTAAAAACTATTGGGGTAAAGATTGTTATATATACAATGTAAACGGGGCTCAATGATTTAATTCCATATATTTGTCTAATCGTGCAAATATACTCTTATATATAAGGATTATATTTGATAAAAACTTAGCCTTAAAGTAGTTGTTGAAAAAAGATAGCTTTGGCAAGCTTTTATTAAAAATTAAAAATTTTTAATAAATTTTTAACTTTTAATAAAAGCTTGCCAAACGAAAGGTGAAAAAACGCCAAGTTATCTAAAATGACGTTAAGATGTACACAAATCTTTATAATTAAACAAAAACGGATCACCAACTAAAAAAAAAAGAATAAAGACAAAAGTCATTGTAAATGTATGATATACTTTTTTAGACAAGCGTTAATTTTGTATTAATATTATATAAGTATATACAATTACATTTAATATTTCGTATTTAATAATAAAAAAAAAACTTTTAAATCATCTTATCCTGAAAAAATTACTTTAAACTTAGCATGGCTTTTTTCAGTTAAAAAAAACTTTGTTCCATCAACTTTACCCCAATTCCCGTCTCTAGTAGGATATTTAGTACCCTTTCTTCCGTAATACAAATTTGAAAAAGTTTCTCTTTGGTACGATACACGTGCATTAGCCCAAGCTCCGTATAAATTCCAGTCGTAAGGAATGGATGCCATTATGTTGAGAACTTTGTTTCCATATTGATAATGAACAACGCCTATTGCCCCTCTTGCAGCTCCTCTAGACTTTGACCACACAAACATACCCGTACTTCGTGGAGGAATATCGGGTAAGACTGTAGCCAAATGTCCTGAAACTGGTGTTGTTCCTAAATCATAAAGCGTTTTTGTGGATCTATTTTCTACGGCACATTTCCAACCTCTCACAACATCTCCTTTCCAAATATTACTAAAAAGTTTCATAGCAACATTCACGCCAACCTTTGCTATAACTCCTAAAGCTACCTGACTGTCTACACCAGAAGGCGAATGTAGGAGTAAGTTCACTAAACATACATACAAAAGCATAGTTGAACTTTTAATACTTCTAAAATATAAATGATGTAAAACATACATTACGTTTTTTATAATTTATACATTTTTGTAATTTGTCATACGTTTTGTTTATGTATAGTAGATAAAATGTTGCTAAAATAACTTTATTAGGTTATAATTCGAAACTTTCTAGTATGTAGTTATATGCATTTTGGGTAATATATTATTATATATGCAAGGTAATATATTATTAAAACAATGTCAACAATGTGTAAATAAATTTTACCTTGAAAAGTGTAAATAATGAGACGTGTCTTCGTTTCTTGATTATAAAAATGATTCTTATAAATCTTTTTATATAGTTACAATAAAAACATTCCAAATAATCTAGTTAA